GCTGGGCGCCTGACCCCAGCAGGGGCGGGCGCGGAGGACCGGCAGCAGAGGAGGCGGCGGTCGGACGACCCGCAGGAACGCAGCCAGCTCCAGCGCATGTCCTCGTTGATTGGGTTCGAGCTGCTCCAATGGTTTGTTGACGAAATCGAATCCTTGACGTCGCGCGGTGACTCGTCGCTCATGCTTGAGCACGCAGTGCGGCTCAGAAGCCAGCTGCTGCAGCAGGGCCAGCGAGAGGAGGACTTGCCCAAGATCCACAAGGGATGGCTGTACTTGTGGCGCAAGGAGCATGGCATCAGCATCCGCCAGGGCACCACGCACTTCCAGGTCAGCTACGCGAAGGCGCTGGACCGCGTGAGGTGCATGTTCGGGAACATCTTTCGGCTGCGCCACCACTGGTCGCGGTGCCACCCAGGGACGGCGATGCGATGGTTCTCGGCAGACCAGAAGCCCAGTTGGATGAACAACGCTGGCCGCAGACCGATGTACGCCCGTAGAGGGTCTCGTCGAGTGGCCGCCAAGGAGAACCATGCAGCCACCAGAGACAGGTACACTATCCTGACGTGCGCGCAGTCTTGGCAGCCTCTGGACGGCGCGGTCCCGCCTGTGGCAGTGCTCTTCAAGGCTCAGAGCGGGGCACGCCTGCGGCAGGAGCTGCAGGTCCCGCCCTGGATGCACTTGCAGTTTCAGGAGAAGGGCAGCTACCGAGCAGACGACGTGATGGACGCCTTAGGCTTTGCTTTGCAGCCTGCTGCAAAGCCGGAGGATTCAATAGTCATCCTGCTCGACTGGTACTCGGCCCACCTCACGGCAGAGGTGCAGCAGGCAATCAGGGACATGGGCCACGTGGTGTTGTACCATGGCGGCGGCGTGACTGGGCTGGAGCAAATCAATGACACACATTTCCACGCCCTGGTACAGCGCCTCATGGAGCAGATCGAGACTCGCGTGCTGCACGAGCAGCGGCAGGAGGACCCCTCCAAGATCGCCAGCTTGTCCCGCCAGGACGTCATCGACGCCGTCGCAGAGATGTGGATGTCCCTGGACCACCGGGGCCTCTCCGAGAAGGGGTACCGCCAGACCGGGCCGCTCCTGGGAGGCGATGCTGTGCCTGAGGACGTCTTCGTCGACTTCTGGCCCTTCTGGGAGGCGCTGGGCGGGCCGGCACTCTGGCGCCACGCGCAGCAGACGGTGGGTGAGATGTGGTCCGCTGGCACGCTGTCCTCGTGGGCCGACGTTGACTTGCTGATAGAGCACCACAAGCCACGCCCGTGCGCCGAGGAGGGGCTCGAGGGCGCGAACTGGGAGGTCGTCCCGGACGAAGAGGAGGAGGGCGACGACGGCGGGGACGACCCTGGCGAAGGAGGCATCGTGTTCGTCCTCGCCGTCGTTCGCCCACGTCCTCCTTCGGGCCCCGGGACCTTCGAAAACCGCCCCGGGACCTTCGAAAACGGCCCCGGGACCTTGGGCAACGTCGTCGTCGCCCAGGCGGAGGCGCGGCGGCTCCTGCGGCGCCATCGCAGAGCGGCGCGGCGCCGCCGGGCGCTCCCTGCAGCGGCTCGGCGGGGAGCGGCGCGGCGCCGTCAGGCGCGGCTCCCGGGGGCGCCGCTTGCGGCTCGGCGCCGCTCGCCGCGCCTTGCCGCGCTGCCAGGGGCGCCCCAGCGGCAGGCGGAGGTGCGGCGGCTGCTGCGGCGCCGTCGCCCAGCGGCGCGGCGCCGCCGAGCACTCCCGCGAACGCCTCGGCGGGGAGCGGCGCGGCGCCATCAGGCGCGGCACCCGGTGGCGCCGCTGGCGGCTCGGCGCCGCTCGCCGCGCCTTGCCGCGCTGCCAGGGGCGCCCCAGCGCCTGGCGCCTCCGACGCGGACGACGACTGGCTGAACGATGGCGGCTCGCTGACGGAGGGCGCCGGGCCTGGCGGCGGCGGCGCTTTGCCGGGAGAGGCCCCAGAGGCAGGCCCTGCCGGCCTGGCAGGAGACGGCGGCGCCCAGCTTGGCGGCGCCGAGAGGGACAGCGGCGGTGCAGAGTCGGGAGGAGCGCCCGAGGAAGGCCCCGGCGACTTGGCAGGAGACCACGGCGGCGTGTGCACCGAGGCCGCGTACCTGTCCGCCCTGAACCACGTGATGGTCGTGGCGCAGCAGACGCGGAACGATCGGTTCTTGAAGAGCTGCAGAGCCGAGCTCCAGCGGAGCCACAAGAAGAGGCGGACGTACGATGCCCCAGAGGCGCAGCGGCTCCGGCAGGCCGCCAAGGAGGCGCAGCGGCTGCGCGAGGCGGACCGGCAGGCCGCGCGGGAGGCCGAGCGGGAGAGACAGGCGGCCGAGCGGCGCGAGGAGGTTCGCGTCGTGGACGCGAAACGGCAAGCCACCGAGGCCCGGATGGCGGCTTTGGACAAGGCCGCCGCCGCACGGAGGGAGGCCAATGAGCGGCTGGCTCTGGAGGCGACCCGTCGCGCGAAGGAGCGGTGGTTGCAGGTGGACTACCCCGTGATGCTCGCCGAGCGCTTGGTGGCGCGGAGGCGCCGCCTGCCCCCCCCGGAGGCGACGGCGTTGCAGGACAGGGTTCGCAGGCTGGTGGGCTCCTCGCGGGTGGAGCGCACGATCCGCGTGCCGGAGTTGTGGGTCGACGACAAGACGCTGACAGCTCCGCGCCTCGCGGCCTCCATGGGCGCGCTGGTGGGTCCCCGCGGCGCCCGGACACGCGTGTTGTGCACGAGGTTTGGACGGTTTCTCGGAAGGGCTTCGGCGACCCCGTCCTCCTCCTCCTCCTCCTGGACTTTTCGCCGTTTCTTCGTGGAGTTTTTCGTGGACCTCCTAAACTCGAAGGTTTTTCTTCGAGTTTGGCCTCAGGGGCCCGTTGTCGGGCCCGAGCTTTAAAACCAACCCTGGGGAGCCTCCTAAGTCGCCTACGGCCCCGGGGGAAACCGTCCACCACGAGGGAGTTCGAGTGGACTCTCTTCGGCCAGGCCTGGGCGACGGAGGGCGGCCGGGGAGGAGCGGCGGACGCCGCCGCCGCCCTGCGCCGGCTCATCAACCAGTGCGCCCCTGGCGGCGCGGACCTGTTCCGCAGACGGTGGCAGCCTCCCGCCCTGCTGGAGACGTGCGGCATGGTGGCTCCGAAAGCGTTCGTGTACGCGATCATTTTGCTTAGCACGTGGCTTGGGCCAGAGGCGTACCCAGAGGGCGTGCGCGAGTGGCCGCCTGCCATCCCTGCCGCAGTCACTGCGGGGTAGTGCTAGTGCTTGCAGCTCGCCGCCCGAATGTCCGCACATTGGGCACTGAGCTGTCCGGCAGGGTAGGCGGCCGAAAAAAGAAGAAACAACAAAACAGAATAATGACACCACAACGAAACAACAAACACAACGAAAGAGAAGAGAAACATATGAAAACATAAGTGCCTGGGTTGTGGGTCACAGACACTGCGGATGCGTCGGTTGTGGGTCAGAGACTTCAGGCTTCGGTTTTGTGCCAGAGCCCTCAGGCTAGCCAACGGCTCTGGGGCCGACCTCCCGAGCACGTCGTCGATGTGCCGCCGCGCATTGGGTGCGGAGCTGTCCGGCAGCACCAAAAGAACAAGACAATATCAAAACTGAAGTGCCCTGGTTGTGGTCCTGACACTTGTCGGATGCCTGGGTTGTGGGTCGCACGCACTTCGGATGCCTGGGTTGTGGGCCAGACGCACTTCGGACGCATGTCGTCTGAGGATCGCCACCTTGCCTGGGTTGTGTCTCCCAGACACTTCGGATGCCTGTGTTGTGGGTCAGAGACCTGGGACTTGGGTTGTGGGTCAGCGCCCTCAGGCCAAGCGCCACCCCCAAGGAGCCCCAGAAGGGTCGACACCGTGCCTGGGTTGTGGGTCAGAGACATATCGGATGCCTGGGTTGTTCGTCAGGGACTTAATGACATAACACATGACAACAAAAAAGAACAAAACATATATATAAACACACGTGCCTGGGTTGTGGTTTGGAGGTCTCGAGGGTGCCAGGGTTGTGCGTTAGGGACCTCTGGCTCGCCACCTTGCTTGGGTTGTGCGTTAGAGACACACCGGATGCCTGTGTTGTGCGTCAGGGACTTCACGACATAACAAATGACAACAACAAATATCCAAAAAGACATGGAAACAGAAGTGCTTGGGTTGTGGTTATGAGCATTATCGGATGCTTGGGTTGTGCGTCACAGACCTCAGGCTGGCCGCCGTGCTTGGGTTGTGTGTCAGAGACATCTCGGGTGCCCGGGTTGTGCGTCAGGGACCTGATGACATAACAACGAGGACAAAATAGCGCCCAAGAAATATGAAAACACAAGTGCTTGGGCTGTGGTTATGACACTTCTCTGACGCCAGGGTTGTGCGTTAGGGACCTCGGGCTCGCCACCGTGCCTGGGTGGCGTGTGAGGGACACCCTTGATGCCTGGGTTGTGCGTCAGGGAACAACATCTCGCGACGTGGACTGGGGCATCCTGGGGGTGGCGTAAGTGGCGGATCCTCGTGTGGTCCCAAGCGCCACCCCCCAGGATCCCCAATGGCCGAATGACATAACAAGCAACACCAAAACAAAAAAAAAAACAGCACAAAATATGCATGCACAAGTGCCTGGGTTGTGGTTATGAGACGTCTCGGATGCCTGGGCTGTGGGTCATACACACTTCGGATGCCTGGGCTGTGGGTCATACACACTTCGGATGCCTGTGTTGTGGGTCAGACACACTTCGGACGCATGTCGTCTGAGGCTCGCCGCCTTGCCTGGGTTGTGTGTCATGGACACTTCGGATGCCTGTGTTGCGGGTCAGAGACCTGAGGCTTGGGTTGTGGGTCAGCGCCCTCAGGCAAGCCACCGGCCCCGGGGCCGACCCCTCGAGCACGTCGTCGTTGTGCCCGCGCAACGACGACTCGAACTTCCTCGTTGCGACACTGCCAGAGCACTGACCGCCGCCATGAACACCAGAACCGTCATCACCATCGCCATCATCATAAGCATTGCCATCATCATTCTCGCCGTCGCGGCTCAAGGGCCCGGCGGCCCCCGAGGAGGCGAGCAGCAGAGCGCCAGCCTCGGGCCGGGCGAAAGGGTGGGATTGGGAAAGGGGGGGTTACGCAATTTGCTGCATGCAGCTGGTTTCGGCCTCACCGAGGGGCCCATTCCTCGATACATAGCCGCCTCCGGCGCCGGGAGGCGCCGGGAAAATCAGCTACGTGAGCTGATTCTCAAACCCCCCCTTTGCTATCCCCCCCTTTCGCCCGACCCGGGCTCCGCCGCCACGCCGCGTCGCCCCGCAGGCGCGAGCACCGGCCTCCTCCAGCGGAATGGGTGATCCGTGGCTCGTTTCCGACGAGGAGCTGGACGCGGAGGGGCCGGCACTGCTGGGCGGGGCCCAAGAAGCGGAGCAGGCGGCGCTGCAGGACTTGGAACGGCAGGCGCTGACGGATGCAGCCGATGACCACCCGGGCGAGGAGCAGCCGCCAGAGGCACCGGCGCCGGCGCTTGTCTCAGCGATGGCAGCGAGCGCCGGCGCTCCCTCTCGCGGCGGCCGCCAGCGCGGAGTCGCCAAGAAGCACTTGAAGAAGGCAGCGCCGAAGCCGCGCGGCCGGACGCTCAAGCGGTGGGGCTCAAGCGGTGGGGTTCCGGCGGGGGTGCAGGTGGTGAGTCGCTTGGCCGTGTGGGGCCCGAAGATAAAGACACCTTGCGTAGTGCGCCCATTGGTCAAACGGGGCGACCGCCACTTCTTCCCGCTGTCCGAGAATAGTTCATGGCTGCGGCGGGCCTGCGATGAGTCTCGCGGCCAGACTCACTGGTCCCGTGGTTTCCAGTACGCGATCAGCAACCTCAGAGGCGTGCTCAAGGAGGGGATCTTCTCGAAGACGGACCCGAGGGCTCAGTTGCAGGCTTCCGCGCAGGCCGTGGGCTTCGACGAGGAGGACGGCGCGGAGGATAACAGGCCTCGGCGGCGCGGCGCGCCTTCAAACGTGGACGCCGTGACCGTGCAGCTGGGCGACACAGACCTTTTCGTGAGGGCGCGGGAGAAGCCGTACTTGATCGAGGCGACGGAGACGTCCATCATGGCCGTGATCAAATACATCCAGACAAAGATGCGCGAGGACAGCGCGACGATCCGGCTGAGGGCGGATTCGCGGTCCAAGCCATCATTCCAGATCGCTTCGGACGGGTGCCCAGCGATCGCGGGCAAAATCACATGGCACCCCTCTGTCAGGGCGTGGAGCGCCCACTACAAGACGACCGACAAGGAGGCCAAGATCAAGAGGCTCGGCGTGAGGGGCCTCGGCATTGGCGAGGATTGGGTGAAGAGCAGGAAGGCCGGGTACCGGGAGGCCATCGTGTTCTGGAACAGAGAGGACAAGAGCACGAGAGATCGCATTCCCGTCCCTGACGAGTGAGTTGCTGCGGGCGCCCCAGACCTGAAGTTACCGTGAGGAACTTCAGGTGCGCGCTGCTACCGGGCTTTAGGAACTTCAGTTACCCAGGCTTTATACGTACCGTGCCAGCTGCGCGAGCCGTGCGCCGACCGCTCTGTGTCATCAGCCGCGCACTGGGTACTCAGCTGTCCGGCAGGGCAGAGAGCCGAAAAAAAACAAAACAAGTAGTACAAAACAGAAGAAGTGCCAACGCAAACATAACCCAAAACATACGATAACATAAGTGCCTGGGTTGTGGGTCAGGGGCCAGGAGGGGCCAGGAGGGACCAGGACCCCTGAGCCCAGGAGGGACCAGGAGGGACCAGGAGGGACCAGGAGGGACCAGAAGGAACCAGGAGAGACCAGGAGGGACCAGGAGGGACCAGGAGGGACTAGGAGGGACCAGGAGGGACCAGGAGGGACCAGGAGGGACCAGGAGGGACCAGGAAGCACCAGGACCCCTGAGCCCAGGAGGGACCAGGAAACACCAGGACCCCTGAGGAGGAGGCGGAGGGGGAGGAGGACGAGGAGGCGGAGAAGGACGAGGAGATGGCGACAGGCGCGCGCTTCGTGCCAGCACTGGTCCGGCGGGGCGCCATCGCCGCTGCAGTTGCGGCCGCCGTTGTTCGACAGCAGGAGCAGGAGGAGGTTTTGCAGGCAAGTTTCTCCGTGTTTGGGTTTCTCTTGTCCCGCACCCGCGCTTCTCCCTCCTCCTCCTCCGCCTCCTTCCCCTCCTCCTCCTCTCCTCCTCCTCCCTCGTCGCCATTTTGGCTCGTTGCCATTTTGGCTCCAGGCTCAATTCTTCGTTGCAGCGTGGGCGAGGGCCCCGTGGGCGAGGGCCGCTTGGGCGAGAATCCTTGCGTTGGTAGCGGCGCTGGCGGCGACTGCCCCGATAGGCGCGCGCGGCGGTCGCGGGGTCCAGGGCGACATCTGACGAAGCTCTTGGGCCTGTGGTGTTTGTTCGGGGCGCGGGGGCGGCGGGGCGCGTGGGCAGCGGGTCTGCGCGGAGCGGGCTGCCAGTCGAGCTCAACGCCACGCCGTCGAGTCGCGTCATTGCGGCCCCCGTTCATTTGGAAAAGAATCCTGCCCGCGCACGCGCTTTGCGTTTGAGTGGAGCGGCGCGGGCGCGCTGCGCTGGCCCCCGTCATTTGGAGAAAAAACGGTCCCTGTCCGCGCGCGCGATTTGCGATTGAGTCAAGGGGTAAGGGCGCGCTGCGCTGGCCCCCGTCGTTTGAAAAGAATACGGTTCCTGTCCGCGCCAGCGCTTTGCGTTTGAGTCAAGGGGCAGCGGCTGTCAGGACTACGGGAGTTGTGAGAGTTCCGGGGGCTGCCATGGCGAGTTCCCGCATGGGCAATCCCCATTTGGAAACCCAACATAGGGAATCGCCATATGGGGAATACCCATACGGGAAATCGCCATGTACGGAATCCCAATGTTGGAAACCCCTTTCATATAGAGAGTCCCCATGCAAGGAATCCCCATACAAGGAACCCCATGTATGGGGGCCTTAATATACGGAGTTCTAATATAGGAAATCCTCAAATAAGCGATTCCCTACATGGGGATTCCTCACATGGAGGTTCTTGAAATGGTGATTCCTAACATGGTGATCCCCCAACATGAGGAGACCCCATATAGGGATTCCTTGTATGGGGTTTTCCCACACGAAGATTCCGTATATGCGACGCACCGTACGGGGTATTCCCATACGAGGACCCCCCTTATGAGGGATCCCCATCTGGGGATTTCCCATATTAGGGTTCCTTACGCGGGGAATCCCCATAGGGGTTTCCCCATGTGGGCATTCCCTATGTGGGGCTTCTCTATATTGGATTCCTTATATGGGGTTTCTCAAGCTTGGGAACCAGAGGTTTCCCAAGCTTGGGGGCCAGAGGTTTCCGAGGATGTCCCAGTCAAGCTTGCGGAAGCTTGGGTTCCCCAAGCTTGGGGAACCAGAGGTTTCCCAAGCTTGGCGCAGTCAAGCTGGTGGAAGCTTGGGTTTCCCAAGCTTGGGGAACCTAGTGCGTCCCAAGCTTGGCTCAGCCAAGCTTGGGGAAGCTTGGGTTTCCCAAGCTTGGGGAACCTTGGGTTTCCCAAGCTTGGCTCAGTCAAACTGGGGGAACCTTGGGTTTCCCAAGCTTGGGGGACCTGAGTTTCCCAAGCTTGGGGGGTCAGGGGTTTCCCAAGCTTGGCTCAGTGAAGCTGGGGGAAGCTTGGGTTTGCCACGCTTGGGGAATCTGTGGTGTACAAGCTTGGCTCAGTCAAGCTGGGGGGAGCTTGGGTTCCCAAGCTTGGGGAATCAGAGGTTTCCCAAGCTCGGCGCAGTCGAGCTTGGGAAAGCTTGCCTGGGCCCAGGTTATATACTTTCCAGCGGGTGGGCAAGCGGGTGTTCACATCGTTTTATATAGTTTTTAGCGGCTGTTTCCCGGAATTCGGGTCGAAATTGAGGAATTTTTCGGAATCATTTCAGGGGTTTTTGGAACAATTCGGAAGATTTCTGTGGCAATTAGGGCGCTTTCGGAACGATTCGGGTGCGTCGCCTCTCTTGCACGCGCCGCCGTGCGCAAAACATTTCGCCTTGCACGCAACCGTTGCGCAAGGCGTTCCGTCTTGCATGCAAAATGCGCGGCCGCGGCGCCCAGCGCAGCTTCACAGTCTCCGCGAGGCGTCGCCCGGGGCCGCGGGCTCGCGCGCAAGGTTTCGTCGACCTGTCTTGCACGTGCCGCCGTGTGCAAGACATTCCGCCTTGCGCGCGACTGTTGCGGCAAGGCGTTCCGCCTTGCATGCGAAGTGCGCCAGCCGCGGTAACCTACACGCCTCCCAGAGTCCTGCGAGGCGTCGCCGTGCCAGACTCTCCGAAAGCGCTTGGGACGCCTTTTCAGACGGTGTGATTCAGACGTAATTTATTTAAAATTGAGTAATTTAGGCGCGCAATGAATTTAATATTGAATGATTTTGCTCGAGTCATTTACCTTGGGCCGAGTCGTCACGACACAAACCTACCGTATAGTCCTCCTCTCCTCCCCCTCCTCTCCGTCCCCTCTTCCTCCTCCTCACCCACTGACCCACTGATGGCGAGGAAGTCCTCCTCCTCTTCCTCATTCTCCTGCTTTCTCCTCCTGCTCCTCCTCCCTTCCAGCCTCTGCTCCTGCACCCCGGCCTTTGTGCCAGCTCTCGTCATGGCCCTCCTGCTGCTGCTCCTCGTTCTCGTCCTCGCCCTCGCCCCCGTCATCCTTCAGGAGGAGAAAAACACACAGACACAATTAATCGTCGACTCCCATGGAAAATATGGGAAAAGATGGGAAGTGGGGGGGAAGACGATAACCCAGGAAATATGGGAAACATATGGGGGATCCTGTCATTTGTGTCTATTTATTTGTGTGTCCCAGGGCCCCTTCAATCCTGTTGCACCCCTGACCCCTCCCGCGCATTTGCTTCGGCACCAGAGATGGCCACCCGGGATCCGTGCGCTTGATGCGTTTCGGACACTTCCTCCTCTCCCTCCTGATCCTCCATCCATCACGTCATCCTCGCCGTCGCCTTTCTCCTCGATGTCCCCCCCCCCCGCGAGCACGCGCGCCAGCCCTGGGAGGCGTCTCGCCGGACTCCGTGCACCTGATACCGCTTCGGCGGGAGTCTGTCCCTGTTCACCGGAAGGGGAAGGCCCGCTGTGCTCTGGAGAGGGGGGGGGCGAGAGGGGTCGCCGCGCAGGGAAGGGGCCGCGCGTCGCTTCTGATAATCCCCGCCGCCTGCCGAGAAGGCCCGCCCCCTCTCTTTCCCCCGCCTTCGGCGCGTCGCCGAAGGAGGGGAACCAGATGATGGGTGGTTCAAAAACGGGGTCCTGAGGGATGGGGTCTTGAGGACGAGGTGCCTCAAAGAATGGCGATCCACCCTTGGATCCCGTCCTGTCCTCGGGACCCCATCCCTGAAACGGAAAGCAGAAGAAACCGACGAGACAGAAAAAAACAAAACCCCGAAACAGCCCAAGCAGAATACCGTTCTGTTTCTGCCTTGGTTGTTTTTGTTTCTATTACTGTCTACGGCGTTCCTTTTCCTGTGCAAGCTCCTCGGCACCGCCTGGACTCCGAGCCCTTCCCTCTCCGGCCGCCCGAGGCCCCGCCCGCCTGTGCCCTGTCTCCCCAACTTGGAGCTGTGCGCAGCCCGCCTGGCTTTTATCGGAAGAGGTTCGCTCTCGCCCCGCAGACCCAAAAAGTGGTTTTTGTCTCTACCTTCCGGACCCCCTCCTGGAACCACAGGGGCGTGAAGGTACCCGCGCCTCCGCGCCTCTCGCGGCCCAGGCCAGCGAGGCGCCCCCCCTCCGGGGCGGCCTCCGGGGCGGCGGCGCGAGGGCGAGGAGGTGACCGCTGCCTCCGCGGGCCCCTGCCGGCGGAGCGCACCGGGGCCAATGCTTCGGAATGGCAGCAGAGGATCTCGCGAGTGGCAGCACCGAGAGACGCGGATGGCAGCAGAGGAATGGCGGGGCCATTTCTTCGGAATGGCAGCACCGAGAGACGCGGATGGCAGCAGAGGATCTCGCGAAACCCCCTCCCCAAAGCGGCCCTCGCCGAGGCGAGGTCGCCCTTTTTAGCACCTGCTGCTCGGTGCATCGTGCTCACAGCATTTCCCACAGATGCTGTGAGGAGTCGCCGCTGGCTTCTGTGGTGTGGCCGTGGAGGTCAACAAAAAAGTTGTTCCCAACGAGGCGGAGCAACACTGTTGGACGGCTTCGATCCCTCTCGTCTGTTCCTCCAGTGGCCTCCGGAGGCACGTCTGGCGACAGGGTTTGGAGACCTGCTGAGAAAGGGCGGCACATGTCTTTACAACTGTCCTCGTTCACGGACTGGGAGCAGTGGTGGTGGCAGCAGCAGGACGAACTGGGGGAGGAGGAGCAGCATCAGCAGCAGCATCTGGGGGCTCCGACTTGGTCACCCTGTCAGGGTCGCCACCTCAGCAATGGCCCTGGCATATTTGTGATCGAGAG